GTCTCGAATAATCTTGAACTACGATAATAAACTATAAAACGTATTTAGATGTACGTAGTAATTTGTAGCTGGTTAAGGATGCGATATTTATTTTAAAATTGGATAGTTATTTTTTTGTTGTGTTCGTTAAGAATCATCTGGTAATTATGACAATTATCATTTGTCACTGTTACCAAATCTAGAATGTAACTATTGAACAGAGGCCTTTCCCTGAGTTAGCCACTTCGAATGGCAATCCGCCACTCGCGACTCCACCTGTTTTGTCCAAACTACATCAATATTAGGCCGTGGTCATTCAAATACTTCCCGGCCACGCAATAGATATGCACGTATAAATACAAATCCTTAATTCTAATGGCAGCTAAATAGGCTTCAGTTTAAGTATTCATCATCATCGTTTTGAATAAACGCACAGTTGTTATGCACGATGAAAAAGATAACACGGTACGGTCCGTTGCGAGTTGGATGGAAAATATGACCGATTTCATTGTTCTTTCTGTGCTATTCGGGTCTGAGAATCACTCGCAGCCATCAACAACGCGGATGCCGCATTTAACGAGCCTTGTCGAAGTGATGGAAAATAGGAACGGATGAATTAGCTGTCAGCTATTCAATGATAAAAGTAAGACAACGCATAATACACGCTCTGTGGCATGAAACAATCAAGCGGCCATTACAAGAACTACATTGCGAAAGCTGGACATGTGTGTCGTTAAAAAATTTCTACAGCAACAAAGTGATTAACGCCCGAATACTTAAAATTTAGTAGCCTACTCAACTTTAAGTTGTACTTAAATATTGTGCCATCTCTGTCATTTTACTAAGAATTTATAGTGACAGAACTATACTTACGCGCGACTTAAAAATTCAGTAGCGTTACAGTTTTAGGGCATAAGTGCATCTATTTTACCAGTGCGTTATAAACTCAAAAGTTAAATATACTAATATTAAACTTTATTTCTCGTCACCTGCCTTGCTTGGGCTTAGGTTCCAAAGTAGCTAAGGAACAGCCAGAAAAATATGAACACCTAGCCTTCACAAATTATTTTACTAACGATTAAATAACGAATAAGCAAATAAGTTACTTTTACTCTATTAATTTTGTATAGATTTTTTTGGCTGAGTTGGTCATCGAAAACCTCATTAAGGGTGTAGTAACATTGGACCTCCGGTAACCCCATTTACACGACAAAACACAACACAAACGTTGTTTCACGTCAGTTTTCTGTGAGGCCATAGTATTACTCCAGTCAAGCCGGCCCATTCATGCCGAAACATGGCTCTACTACACTTGAAAGGTTCAAACTGTGCATTCAATTTATTTGCAAATTTTGTGAATTGAGATAAAGTTATTTATTACGTCCGTATTGTGTCATTTATTAAGAACTAGCTTCTGCCCGCGACTTCGTACGCGCAATCCCATTTTCCCCCCGTTCCCGTTCGTGATTTTCGGTAAAAAGTAAAAAAAAAGTATTCTATAAAAAGTATCCTATGTCCGTCTCCTGGTTCTAAGCTACCTCAGGGAGGTAATTTTCATCTAAATCGATTGAGGCGTTCTTGAGTTATAAATAGTGTAACTAATACGACTTTCTTTTATATATATAGATTCGAGTCAAATACCACTCATCTCTGAAAAAATTGCTAGAATAAATTGAAAATTAAGTATATCGTCAAATATATGAATGAAATAGTAATTATTTTTGAACATATAATTGGATTGAAAAATCATAATAGAGGTAATTTATTGTTGACCCAGGAAGATACCCAATGGTTTAACTAAAATCGCGGGCTACACACGTGAAAATATTAATTTTTGTCCACTATTGATGATTATATAATGCTATTTGTTCGATTAATTGTTAATTGTAATTCTATGTCGATCTATATTGTCTCAATTTCATATAATTAAAGAAATGTTAAATAGATTTAAACGTAGCAACTTAGACAATGTATTCAATTAAATCAATAATTTTGCATGTACCGGGACTCTCCTCTCCATAAGTTACAAGACAACATATTCGTTACTTACATTTTTGGAAAATACATTATTTCCGATTTCTGACTTCTTAGAAAAGTTCTACTAGTTTCGAGACACAGAGGGGCTCTTCCTCATGAGCAGCGTGCGATGTTGCGCAGCCTTGAAATTAGTAGAGGTTTTCTCAGTAGGTATATTCACGTGAGTAACCCGCGATTTTTACTCCTCTTAGTATGTCTCACGATAGTTATTATAAACTAGCTTCTGCCCGCGACTTCGTACGCGTACCATCCCATTTTTTCCCGTTCGTGATTTCCGGAAAATAATTAAAAAAAAAATTGGTTAAAAAGTATCCTATGTCGGTCTCCTGGCTCTAAGCTACCTCCCTACCAATTTTCAGCCAAATCTATTCTGCCGTTCTTGAGTTATAAGTGGTGTAACTAACACGACTTTCTTTTATATATATAGATGAAATTAAACGCTAGGAGATTGTGACGTATATCGATCGTAATGTGGTGCCGTCGTCGCCACCATAATGCGAGCCAGCGCGAACAACGTGATGCCTATGGCGTCCTACAGCGAAGAGAGAGGCACGCACGCCTGGAGCCCTTCGGCGACTTACTGGCGAGCCTACCCTTTCATACATTAATATCAATTTTATTTTTGTCATGGAAACAAAACGGTCCTTTATTTATAAAAGATAAAGCTACATAGAAGCTATTAATTACCTCGCATTCTTCTCTAATATGTATTCCTATTTACAATCATACATTGTCTTATTTAATCCACTGATTCATGTGTAAGAAAACGTTAAATTGGTGACAACATTAAAAAAAACATGGTTTTACAATTGTTTCCGATAGTGTAAAATCGGCATAGGTAATGATCATTAACATATTCGCACGGAAATGTTGGTCAGTGTGCTTACGGCAAACACACCTTGTTTGGCATTATGTAGAACATTTTCGGTGAAACCGTTATTTACAGTTTCCATCAAGCCAACGCGAGTTGTGTCAATTGTGCTCTTTTATCGAACACATGTGCATGCACGATCTGGATCCATCCAATAAATCTCAATAATAGGGATGATGACTGAGTATAAAAATCGGAAATTTTATTAGTCCGTCGGTTGGCTAATGAAATAATATTCGACATGTTTTTTTTTATTTTGTGGTATAAGAAAACGGTACTTAGATAAAACTAATCAAAGTTTAGGAGTAGGAGCCAGCTACGTCATTTTTGGGTATAAAACGTACACAAAGGTGACGCCACGCGATATTTCAAATCAATATATCGTCGGAAGTATTTGTTTCTGTAAGAAAATAAATACGTGTCTAATGTTCTTGAATAATCTACCAGACGAACATCAAACTAAAAATTAGTCATCTACCTTCCCTATTTTTCAATGTCAAATCTATACATAATAATAGCATTAAAAATAAAGCTGTTGAAATAGCATTCAGAGTACGGATTAAATAGGTAAACTCAATAACATTTAGTTCATAAAATATTTACGCAATACGAATGCGATGGGCGCTAGTGTTGCAACTCAAAAGTACGAAATTTCATATTACCAATGTCGATTGATCGCAATGGTTTAAGAGTAAGCCTGGGCGCTTACTCTTGAAACCAATCTTAATGTCAATCCAATAAAATCTCAATATTTATTCAATGTCAACACTATATAACCCCCCTATCGAAGCTGTTAAAATAGCATTCAGAGGATGGAATATAAAGCCTAACTCAAAACAATTTAGTTCATTTAATATCCACGCAACACGAATGCAATGGGCGCTGGTGTTGCAACTCAAGAGTGCGAAATTTCACAATATCAATGTCGATCGATCGGAATAGGATTCAAGAGTAAGCTTCCTAGTCGGAGCGCGTTTAGTTCATGAAATGAAAATAATTGTGAGATAGGAAGATTGAAAACTTACAAAATGGTCACACTCTATTTACGAAATTGTTATGGTTATGGTTTAAAGTGAATTGTTTCTATACCTTTTTTTGTCATGTTATGTATTTTCTACCAGTGTTTAGGAATATTTTCTGTAGTCGTTTTCATTATTTGTAAACAAAGAAAATTAAACTAATACTAGCAAACTAATATATTTAACGTTAAAAAGGAAAATAGTAGATTCTTTTAATTAATTAACCATGATTAACAGCTATGGTACTCGAATCTAAACATACTTCCAAATGTTTCATTATCCGTATTTTGGAGTTGCAATTTGTGTACCTGTATACACAGATCCAAGTAACGCGACAGAATTTTGCCCTCTTCAAAAGCACTTGTAATCTGGGCGTTTATTTTAACTCGTCGAGTACCGGTTTTATAGACACAATTAAAGAACAATAGGTCGCGGTCACCGGTGACCGCTTGGTATTTGACAGATTAATTGTTGTTTCCACAGAATTTAAACAGGCAACATACAAACTTAATCTTATTATTAAATCAAACACATCACATTAAGGATGTTATCTTGTCAATATCAAAGTCCCTAACAGTGAGGCCAATAGTGTAGACATAAATATGTAACGACAGGTGGTAAAGTGGTCATGCTGCGCAGCGCACGCCCAGTGCACCAGTCGCAAACATTGTAACTTTAACCGTATATTACACGAAAATGAACTGTATTATACAACACCTAGAGTTTTTAATTATACCGACCCATTCAAATAACTTGTAACCTAAATCATCTTACTTGAATAGCAGCGCAGGCCTGAAGACGGGAGAATTCGAATTTATTGACCATTAATTCAAAATATTATTTTCACAATATAAGTACTCATTTATTAATTTTGAAATATTAGGTTCCGATTAATTTATATGTGTCGTTAAGATATTTATTATGTATGTAAATATCATCTTTATTTATATTCCTAATCTTTTGTTTTCAGACGTTAAGTACGTTGATGAACATCGTTTAATAAATTGGTTACCATGAATGAACAAGTCTATACTTAAAAGTATAAAACGGTTGTTGAAGTTTTGATGATGACTCATTGATATTTTTTTTTGCAGGGTTTGGACGAGGAAGATAGAGTTTCTGTAAGTACAAACAAGATAGGAATGAATTATTACCCATTAAACGAAGCAAATAAACTTAGACTATTTTATTGCAGTTAGATCAAAAGAGCGAAGCTGACCCATTAGACTCCAAGCAAAAGCAATGGATTTTATGTGCTGCAAGAGGTGACTATCATGCCCTGGCAAAGATGTGCAAGGAAAATGCGAAACTTGTTAAGACCAAGGTTAGTGTGTCATAAAGCATATTAAGTGTTGGAAGAGAATAGGCCTATAATTTATTTGTTAAATGTTCACACCATTTTAGAATTAGCCAAACGTTGTTTTTCGGAGCACGACATAATTTCCGTTTAAAAATGTGATAAACGATTACGGATGTGGATGTCCCATATTCTTGAGTTTTTCGGATTTAGTAAGCGCCAAGTGAGAGCACATGTCCAAAAGGTGTGCTTCTAATTGGGTCTCAGGGTGCACGGCCGGCGCCGGCCCGCGCCCCCCCGCCGCATGCTATCTTGACATATCTCCGGACGTAGTCCCTTGTTTTATTTTATGAGCCATCTCTCAGGCCCGACTTTTTTCTATACAACTATTGTGTTTAAATACTGTTTCAATCCTCGCTCTTGATATATAGACGTCATATAACGTGATTGTAAGATCGCTAATTTTAAAGAGCATTCCGTAATCTGGGTTAATAAATGTTGATGTTATTCATCAGCCATACGCGCCAAATAATCAGCTATATTGACAAAACGAGGGTTGTTTACTTTTAATATATTATCTAATGTGATTTTTTCACATATGCAATAATGTACAAAAATCCCTTGAGATTTAAGGCCAAACGCCATGCTCTTAAATATAGAAAATTACAAATTGCAGTTTATATTTCTGTCTAAAGAGCATTGTTTTTGTATTGATTACCAAGTACCTACATTACTTTTATTGAATACGCCGTAAAAAAGTAATGATAGCCTTCTCTTTTATTGATCCGTTGTAAATCAAGGGTCGACGCAATTGGATTTAAATTTTATTGGTATCTTTTCTTTGGTATGTGAATAGTTAACACGAATTAAGGAAATTAACAAAGATTTGTTTTAACCTTTATTTTTGCTATAATTTCCCTTAGCAGTAATTTTAATAGGCTCGGATTTATTGACAATCTATCTATTATGAGTTTACTTTGTTACTTTAACTAGTACTTTAGAATGGAGAATGACAGTTATTTTCATTATCTTCTATCCGCTTCCCGAGCTAATAAAGCAACAGTAAATATTGTCAGACAATATGGAACACGTGTTTGCTACTGTTGCCTTGCTGGTTGACATTTGTCGTCTTTCCTCTAAAAAAACACTTTGATGCTTATTTTCGTATTTGCTTGACTTGCTGATGGAATTATAGATTTGTGGAAATTTCTCTGTGTGTGGGTTCTTATGATATTTTTTATTGTAGACCTCGCTTGTTTCTCTTTGAAATGAGAAATTTAAATATGTCATCGTCGCTTCCTATCTAAAAGAACTTATCTTTAAAATTTATATTTTAATGCTTCATGGTGATTAGTTGAAATATATTAGCTGATTTTATAAGCTTTTTTAACACTCCATGACTCCTGTTAGCACTTTGTTAATGTTGAATTCATTTTATCTCTTTAAGAAATATTAGAACACACCAAAAAAATGTTTCTGAAGTTTGTTTTAATCCTTATTACTATTTGATAAATTTGTTGTTTTCTATATAAATATTTGTAGATACTAGTCACGATAAAAGAATTTTCTATCGAAGACTAAGATTGTAGGTGATTATAAAAACTGCACTTCTGCAAGGTTGATTAGACAAACTTTGAAACAAAAACACCTCTTTCACGTATTACATTAAGACAAAGTTGTTTTTTATATGGTTGTGTGGCTTATTGTTTTATGAACCCATCTTATAGGTAACTAAGTTAACTATGAATATTACGTTTAATAATTCAATTCTTTAATAAGTTTTCTTCCAAATACTACTAACGTTTTTGAGAACGATAGCTAATTTTATTTGATTTTCTAATATCTAAATCTTTACTAATGATTGTGTAATTGTGTTGATAAAGGTTTGTTTAGCTAATAAAAACTCGAAAGCTTCGTATTATTAGTATTCTTGATTTACGACTGTTTGAGTCAACGAGGGCGGAGTCAGTGATCCAAGTAATTAAATCCAAATCATTTCGATTTGGTTGCTATACCAACAGTTATATTGATACGACCAATAATGGTATTGTTAATTACATTTATATAGGGTAATATAAGAAAAAATTTATATCGTCATCTTTAATTTAAAAGACTACTTACAGTTTTTATTGTGTTTGTTAAATATCATTTAAGATGTTTCTTCAATAAAATTAATAGTTTTATGGTTTGGCATGTTCTAATTGGTGCGTTAAACTGGAGTGCAATTACAACCACATTTTTTGTGGCGCCTGTTCGCAGACCTCGAGTATTCTATTTCATTGTAAAAAATACTTCCAAATATTCGTCTACGATTTCGGTTGCACGCGCTATTAACGCCAACTCGACGGTGGGAGTGTCGTTGTAGAAAGCAATTTAAGTCCTGATTTATTCCGGTGCAAGGCATCGACTTTGCTGACATCTCTCAGTCTAATTAAGACAGTGGCTTCTAAATGATTTATCTACGTTAAAATCTATGAGTTGCACATGAACTAATAATTAATTAAACTCTTAAATATTTCATTCTTCTTCTTTAGGTAAATTCTTTGTATTAAAATATGTGTATGTTCTACCTTATTATATTTAAATATTTTTAGGTAAAATTATATATTTATTTTGTTAGTCTTAGTCGAAATCGATTCCTTGACAGATTTATTTACTATGGTCGCTTGTTACTTTGTGAAGTGAAGCAAGACGGCCACAACTTTTCGTTTATTGTTTTTTAGTCGTTTTCAATGGGTGAGCTAACTTCTCAAATGTGTCGCCCGGCGCCAACTCGGTGCAACCCGAGATTTGACGCCGCGCCTCATTTGACCCGTCCGTCCGTCCGTCGAATGCGCGCGCCATTGTTTAGCTATGCGTGTTGAACATGACACGCCGCGATAAGAACGTTTCGTATCTTCGATTATATAAGCAAGACATCGTCCAACTTTATAATATTCACCCCTCTTTATGATTAGGGTATCTTCATTCCTAAATTAGCACGGAAAGACAAATATGACTTTGAGTTTGTAGCTATTATATGTGCTGTGATTTTTTCACCTCGCCTGGTCCATTCAAAATAGTTTCTAGGAATAAGAGTCTCGCTTCTAGCTCGTGTTCATTGGTTCAACTAGAGTGCGGAGTTTTGAGACTTGTTCTGTGCTCGGAGGATGGGAACTTGTAACGGGATGAGTTGGTTACATTCACATTTGAGTTAAAAACTACTGACAGTTACATCACCCTTCAGCCAGTTACATTTCCGTCGCTTCCTTATTATGATTTGAATTATTATTCGCGAGGGCCTGGTTAGCGAGTTGACAAGTCCGCTTGTCTTTGAAAATATTCGTTTCTTAAAAAGTTCACCTAGATATTTTATTGAATTTTAGTAGACATTCTCAAATGTATCATATACGTAAATGATGGTGTGTTTTATCTAGACTGACTGACTGACTGATTGATTGACTTACTGACCGACAGACAACGCACATTTGAAAATATTGATCGTAGACAGCAGAAATTTGGCATAGGTATTTTGTGTAAAAAGTTTTTGGAAATTATCCCCTGGGGTGAAAAAAGGGGGGATTATACATGTTTATGATAAAAGCAATTGAAGTTTATAGATTTACTTTATTTACCATTATAGTTACAACTTAGAGTGGAGATAAGATACCCTTGTCTCCAACATTTTACTTTTAATTGTTATGAGATATTAGCTAGAAGAGAATATAGCACTAGTTGATATTTTACGAACAAAACCTAAGCGTGCTGCATAAAGCACTTGCGCAGGAGTGCAAGTCACTCCCACAATAAGTGATTTCCAACAGAGTGACGCAGCGATATTGTAATGGTTGTTTGTTTAGTGGTTCTACCTTACTCGTGTATCGACCTAATCATATATGCCCGTAGTTTTGTTTTTATTCGGCTGTTTCATTATAGAGTTCATGGGCGTGTGATGTTGGGCGCAATCAAATTTGAAAGGAGACAGCTCAGCATTTGTGCTGCATTGGTAATTTGGTTCTGGCGCCATAAAGTGTTGGTAGACCTACAATACAATTGTCAATCAAGACTAGATTTGCAATCTTATTACATTATAATACGTCGATATGATTTTTGTTTAAGAATCTGTTTTTAGTTTATTTATAACATCGATTAGAGTACGGATCACGATTAGTACAGCGGCTATAAAACTGGCTGTTGTGCAAAATATATCGTTTGTTCGATTTTTGTACATTGTTGCCTACTTTAACCTAAAAGACCTTTAAGAAACTACATTAGACCTAAAAGTGCAAATGTATTTTCTAAGTAAATGTATACTTACATCTTATAAATCCATCCGTAGCCCAAAATCTGAGAATTCAGAAGTGCTTAATTGCCTCGTCAAATTTGCTCAATATATCCCACTGATACTGCCGGTGAACAAGGTCGAGGCTTATCCACCTTTTTTGTATGTCGTTGGGTCGACGTTTGGCCAATATCTGGCCTGGTGAACCTATTTATAATTGTATATTTTTAATATTGTATTAGTGCTATTGTTCAAAATTAACATTTCTGAACATTAGTAGGTAATTTAATGTATTACGTATTAAGTATTATTTTTACCGGCTTACTCATGTACCTAACTGCTTGACGAAGAACTCGACTAGTTTTATACTCATGAGCAACATTGTACGGAACTCAACACACGCTCACACACGGTGAACATCGAGAGCCTTGTCAAATAGTTACGTGAGTAAGCCGGTAAACAAAATAGTGAACTTAGTTTGTTTCACGAAAGCTATGATACAAAAATATTATTACCTATATTACGTCGGAGGATGAGGTGGGCAATATTTTATGTTAGGCGAGAGCCCTCTTTGTCACACATATCGGTAGAGCTATGTGTTGATAACAGTAAAACAATAAATTAAAATTTCATACTAAAATTATTATTTATTTTTGTACTTTTACTCGTTAAAATTCTAATTAAGTTACAAACAAATTAAGTTACAAAGAGACTTTCCCACTGACTGCTTTAAAATGGAACAAACTCCGTTACAGCCATTTAAAGT